GNGGGGGGGGTTCACGGGGGGAGGTGATTTGGGTTGGGTGAAGGAGACGTAAGTCATAAGCCCCTGGCGGATTGGGCGGAGGCCGGCGAACGGGCGCCGAATTGAATGGACGTACATACATACATACATATACATACATACATTCATTCATTCTACTTCTTCCTCTCGCAACAGTCAGAGGGCATTACCCATCAAGACTGTGACCCATCTTGGTTTTCCCAACATACACGCCTAACTGCCTAACCACCAACTATCTAACCGAACCTACGCTCAACCTTCCTAACCCTTTCCCCCCCTCCCCCGGGGGCTCCCCCTCTTCCCGCAGCCCTTCTTCGAGGCGCTCCATCGGGCGGTCCGCCCCGGCGGTATCGTGTGTACGCAGGCGGAGTCCCTCTGGCTGCACCTGGACATCATCAAGGCCCTCGCCGACATGTGTACGGAAGTATTCCAAGGCGGATCCGTGTCGTACGCCACCACGACCATTCCCTCCTACCCCTCGGGTCAAATCGGCATGCTGGTGTGCGCCAAGGCGCGTAGCGGCGCGGAGGGGGAGGGCGACGGCCCCCTGGACCCCCGCATTGCCCGGCAGCAGGAGCCGGGGCCCCTGCCGGCGCTGGGGGTGGGCGAGCTCAGGTACTACAGCCACGAGGTCCACTCTGCGGCTTTTGCGCTGCCCGTGTTCGCCAAGAAGGCCCTGGGGGGCTGCCTCACCTTCCAGTGAGGCGCACAGCCGGAGTTACCGGAGGGACACCGCCAGGGACATTGCCTTCCCATTACCTGTACGGTGCCGGGGTAACGGTCAACGGTTAAAGTAACTGTAATAGCAAAGCTTATGGACGGTGGTGTTAACGGCAGCAGGGGCAGACATCGGAGCGCTTTTTTGGAGTTGTACAAATGAAAGTTACGGATTACGTCATTACGCAGATTTAACATTGGACTGCTCTCTGTGTGTGGGGGAAAGTGAGAGAGAGTGTGTGGTGTGTGTGTGTGTGTGTGTGTGTGTGTGTGTGTGTGTGTGTGAGAGAGAGAGAGAGAGAGAGAGAGAGAGAGAGAGAGAGAGAGAGAGAGAGAGAGCTGCCGCCCGGGGACGGTTAGACGGCCCTTCACAGACCCACTGAGAGTCAGGGACTGACATTGGTTTGGGGAACTTTGGTACGACACGTCAGTTTTGCGGAATGTTTACCGCGGGGATGTCTTTACGGCAGCAGCAGCAGCAGCAGCTGGAGACGGTCCCATCGGACTGGGGTTTGGGAGATCTGGTGCTCGAAGGTGGGAGCGGACGCCGGCGGATTGAGGACCTCGTAAGAGACACAAGACACACATACACACATACACATGTATGAATACTTGACGGGGCTGTTGGTGGTGGCTGAACCCCTTAAAAGGGGCCTGTGAAGGAGTGCCCCAGAGCTCCAAATCCAGATCCAGGTTCTTCGAATACGGGGTTGCTGTGTTGACGGCCCCGCCGCCCCGTGCCGGTGGTGTGTGTGTGTGTGTGTGTGTGTGTGCTAACGTTGGACGAGACGAGCAGATTTGATGACAGACATTTGGACCGACAGGTAGACGGATGGAGAGAGAGACAGAGCGAAGAAGGATTTGGGAGGTGGTGGGGAAATTTTGGACCCAGGTGTGGAGTGTGCTCTCTGGTGCCGTACTCCTGTGACGGCGATCTTGGCGAGCGAGCTGCCCGCAATTGTGTGTGTGGGGGGG